TAGTGCTTGGAAAAAATCTTTCATTCCTTTAGAGACAGCATGAAAAGTCAGCTGAGTACAAAACATAGAGAGGAAAACAAGAAGAAAAGGGACAAGAAGAGAGGGACACAACCTAGAATAAATATCTGTATCTATATCTGTAGAATGGAGCTGTTTTATATGTTGTCTACTCAGTTCAGAGGGCCCCTTGCCTGTATTTGCCTAGGGCACCAAATTCCCTAAATCCGCCCCTGCTACCAGATTTAGGTTGAAGATCAGGCTTAGCCTCTCCAAGTCGCTCACATGCTGCTGCGTAGAAATATGCCAGCAAAATGAAAAAGCTACTTTAAACCTTAATCTGCCAGGAGTAGAGTTACTTTAGATCCAGCTAATGATGTTTGCTAATTAGTGGTTATAGGAAAGCAGACATCTTTGTTTAGTTATTGATCATGGTCATCATGACATCCATTGTACAGACTTATATGGGATTATCTGCTTGTTCAGATTGCACCAATGTATTACTTCAGCTAGCCACCAGAGGGAGACATCATCATGATTTGGTGTTCTTGGGGAGGATAGCTGTCAGATCAAACATAGAGCTGTCTGTCTCTCTGTGCCTTTAGTTAGTGATCAGTTCAACCTGATGGTTTCTCTTCTGTCCAGGACGATCTGAAGGAAAGCCTGCAGAGGATCGCTGACAAGTACGTTTCCCTTCAACAGCAGGAAGGTTCTCTCTTCTAATCAACATTTTAGTTTTCCGTTCTGCATTAGTTCTGCACAAGTTCAGTCTCTGTTTGGATCACCTGCAGAAAAGCAGCCATGTTTAAACCCTCACTCCTTTCATTTCTTTGTAGTTTTATTAGTAAAATGATTTTATCTCTATCTGTTAAATTTGCTATTGGTGTCTTTCTTTCTAGGATGAAGAATACTTCCAGTCTGCTGAAGAACAAACCTGCAGTGGATCCAGATCGTAGCCTTTTGTCGTAATAAATGATTCCAGAACAACTTTCCATCTTATTAAGATGATATCCGTGTGTTTATGATCGTCTTTATTTAGACTGAAACTGGAGGAGATTCTCAGCGTTCCTTGGAATGAACAGAGAATCAGATTCAGTCATTTGGTTTGAAGTCTGTATTTTTGTGTGATTATATTTCTGTTCCACACATCATGTAGATTTGAGTCTTTGTTGGATTATTCTGTCAGACTAAATAAATTCATTTTCCACACCTGCCTAATCTTCAGTGCTGGTGTCTCCTAGTCACCAGTGTTTATAGGAATGATACACAGAAAGGAACCTGTGATGATGTAGTGCAGAGGGCAAAACAATAGTAGATCCTGAAATTATGGCTTTTAGTTTCAGTGGTCACCCCAAGACTTTTAGTGGCCCCATCTGGCCCCCCCCCATGGAACATTTCTGGAGGTTCCACTGCCTCGAGGGCCGCTGTCCTGCAGGTTTTAGAGGTTTATCAGAATTCTGATGATTTGATTGCAGTTCAGGTAAAGCCTCTTAATCAGCTATAAATGGAAATCAGCTGTACTGCAGCGCCTCCAGAAATGTTTCATGGGGGGCCAGATGGGGCCAGTGGCGGATCTAGACCAAATGTACCAGAGGGCCAGGAGGGGGCCAGCGTGTTTTCATGGAGGCACAGAAAAGCATGAATTAAAAAACAGGGTGAGGGTTTCAAATATATCAAGATAACCGCATAAAGTGAAATTTCAATTCAGTTAGGTTTAATTAAAGTCCTATTTCTAATTAGGTCAATATACATCTATAATTTAGAAATTTTACATATTTTTAACTTAATGTAAGTCAAAATTACAGTTTTTTTTAAATAAAATCTGAATTATAACTCAAAAAAAATGAATTTAGCTGTAAATTTTTTTTTTATTTGTTTAGAAAAATAACATTTAGTAGATTAAAACTGGAATCCTATCTCAACACCACTGAAGCTATCACCTTATTGTTTTTGAAAAAATATTAAAACAGAATTTGTAAAGGAGAAAAAAATGGAAATAGATCCAAAGTACATATCAGTAACCATGTCTGCTCCGGCGCAGATCATCATTAGAACTGCTTTGAGTATTATGTCTTCAGTATAGGGACCATAACAGAATCTACAGGGGCACTGGCCCCATTGACTCCTGTCTAGAACCGCCCATGGGTGGCACGCTGAAACCAAAAGCCATAATTTCAGGGTTTGAATCTACTATTGTGGTAAACCTGCCGGTAGAACCAAGAAGTAAACAGTTGCTCAGATCTTGGTTTATTATGTGATTTTTAATGTTTTATCGCTGGCTGTCAGAGGTGTCAAGTAGCAAAGTACAGATACTTTGTTACTGTACTTATGTACCATTTTTAGGTATCTATACTTTACTCCATTATTTTTCCTTCTACTCATTACATTTTCACACAAGTATCTCTACTTTCTATTCCTTACATTTTTAAATCAAACTCGTTACCCGTTACTCTTGGATTCGGTTTAATGTTTCTAAATATTTATTTCCCGTCATGTGCTCCATCCAATGCAGATCATTGGCTCCATCCACATCTAGTGAAAACTAGTGTTATTGGATGAGTCATAGAACGCAAACACTCATTGGTTAGCTAAAGGAAATCATCAGAAGC